TGAATTTGGGTTTTTTGGGTGAATTTTGGGGTTTTTTTGGGAGAAATATCAGGAGATTTTTTAGGTGATTTTTGGGGGTTTTTTGGGATGAATTCGGGGATTTTTTGGGTGAATTTGGGGTTTTTTTGGGAGGAATTTTGGGGGATTTTTTAGGTGATTTTTGGGGGGTTTTTTTTGGGGTGAATTTGGGGGTTTTTGGGGTCTCACCCTCAGGCCGCCGCCCCCTCGAATTTCTTCTTGCGCCCCTCCATGCCGCTCATGGCGTCCACGTTCTTGCGCCAGTCCCCGACCTCGTAACTCTCCTGGCACCCAAAATGTCCCCAAAATGTCCCCAAATGTCCCCAAAACCACCCAAAAACGACACCACAAGAGCAACAAAACTCCTGCTAAAAACAGCCCCGAAAAAAGTCTAAAAACAGCCCCAAAACGCTGCAAAAATCACTCCAAAAACGGAACTAAAAACCCACTGAGAGAATGATAAAAACTCAGCAAAACCGCACTGAAAAAAACACTAAAAACTACCAAAAAACGTTAAAAACACAGCAAAAAAATACATTTTAAAACCCCTTTAATAAAAGCACTAAAAGCTCACCCCAAAACTCACTAAAAAAACACAAAAAAATCCATCCAAAATCTACTAAAATTTCACAAAAAAACCCACAAAAAAACCCACAAAAAACCCACAAAAACACCACTAAAAAACACTAAAAACCCACCAAATAAGCCACCAAATGTCACAAAAAAACCACTAAAAAATCACCAAAAAGACCACTAAAAACCCACCAAAAAAACCCCACAAAAAAACCACTAAAACACTGCTGAAAGCCCACCAAAAATCCATAAATAAACCACTAAAGAGTCACAAAAAAACCCACTAAAAACCCACCAAAAAACCCACTACAACACCGGTGAAAATGCCGCAAAAATCCATAAAAAACCCACTAAAAACACCCCTAAAAAAACCCAAAAAAAACCACAGTAAAACCCCACCAAAAACCCCACTAAAAACCTCCCCAAACCCCTCCCTGAAGTTTCCTGGTTTCCCGCTCACCTTCTCGGCGTCGTCCTTGCGCACCTGGCGCAGCCCGGCCCTCAGGTCGGTGCCCACGCGCGGTTTGGTGCCCAGCAGCGCCGCCATCATGGCGTCAGCCGACAGCCTCACCCTCCTCAGGTTGGGCCTCACGAAACGCCCGGCGGCCACGCGGCGCCGCAGCTCCTCCAGCTTCGGGGGGACACCGGGGAGGCGTCGGGGAGGCGCCGGGGTTCCCGGCACAGCCCGCTCCGCACCGGCCCCCGCTGCGCCCTCACCTCGGTGACGTTCTTGCTGACGCGCGTCCCCATGTCGTAGCGCTCCTCGTCCACGCGCGCCACGCGGGCGTGCAGCTCCCGGCACAGCTCCTGGGGACGCCGTGGTGTCACCACAATGTCCTCGGTGTCCCCTCGCCTCTCACCCCTAAGCCTTGTCCCGTTTCCAGCTCTTTTCCCCCTCGTGATTCCTGCCGTTTTCTCCCCTCACGTTTCCCTCCCTTTTCTCCCCTCACAGCGGCCGCCATTTTGTCCCCTCACGGTTCCCGCCCTTTTCTCCCCTCACGATTCCCGCCCTTTTCTCCCCTCATAGCGGCCGCCATTTTGTCCCCTCACGGTTCCCGCCCTTTTCTCCCCTCACGATTCCCGCCCTTTTCTTCCCTCACGATTCCCGCCCTTTTCTCCCCTCACAGCGGCCGCCATTTTCTCCCCTCCCTGTCCCCAAACACCCCACAAATGTCCCCAAACACCCCACAAATGTCCCCAAATGTCCCCTCACCTGCAGCTCCGTCACCCCCATCCCCTCCAGGGCCGCCAGGGGTGGGCACAGCTCCCCCACCACCCGAATCTTTTCGGCCGCTTTCTCCTGCTCCTCCTTCTCCAGCTCCCGCTTCGCCCTCTGCAGCAGCAGCGTCTGCGGGGGGGCGAGGGGGGGAAATCTGGGGATCTCCCCCGCCCCAAAATTTGGGGAAAAGCCCCGAAATTTGGGCACAAACCCCTCAGATTTAGCTGGGACATTTGAGATTTGGGGTTTCTTTGGGGAGGGGGAAACCCCAAAAATTTTGGGGACCCCCCCCCCCCTCACCTTCAGCTGCAGCTTGCGAGACGCTGAGATTTTGGATTTTCTCTGGTAGGGGAGAAATTTGGGGTCAGGATTTGGGAACTGAGGGATTTTGGGGTCCGGGGGTTCGTGGGCTGATTTTTGGGGAGGATTTTTGGGGTTTTTAGGGGTGGTTTGGGGGGGATTTTGGGGTCTTGGGATTTTTAGGGAGGGATTTTGGGGTTTTTTTGGAGGTTTTGGGAGGGGATTTTGTGTGGCAATTGAAGGATTTTTGGGTCTGGGGGCATTTGGGGGGGGTAATATTTTTGGTTTTTTGGTGTCTTTGGGAGTTCTGTGGGGAGTTCCCGGGGCTTTTGGGGATTTTGGATTTTCAGGGTGGGTTTTTTCGGGTTTTGGGGTTATTTTGGAGAGTTTTGGGGTGGATTTGGGGGTGGTTTTATGGTGATTTTTCGATTTTCAGGGTGGACTTGGGAGGTTTTTGGGGCGAGTTTGGATTTCCAGGGTGGTTTTGGGGGTGGTTTCATGCTGATTTTTGGGGGTTTTGGGGCGGGTTTGTATTTCCAAGGTGGATTTGGAGGTTTTTGGGCTGCTTTAGGGGTTTTTAAGGAGGATTCAGAGATTTTTGGGGTGAGTTTGTATTTTCAGGGTGGTTTTGAGGGTGTTTTTATGGCGCTATTTGGAGCTTTTTGGGCTGCTTTAGGGGTTTTTAAGGAGGATTCAGAGATTTTTGGGGTGAGTTTGTATTTTCAGGGTGGTTTTGAGGGTGTTTTTATGGCGCTATTTGGAGCTTTTTGGGCTGCTTTAGGGGTTTTTAAGGCGGATTCTGAGCTTTTCGGGGTGAGTTTTTATTTTCAGGGTGGTTTTATGGTGCTATTTGGAGGTTTTTGGGGCATTTTTGGATTTTTCACAGTGGATTTGGAGGTTTTCGGGGTGAGTTTGTATTTTCAGGGTGGTTTTATGGTGCTATTTGGAGGTTTTTGGGGCATTTTTGGATTTTCAGGCTGGATTTGGAGGCTTTTGGGGTGAGTTTGTATTTTCAGGGTGGTTTTGAGGGTGTTTTTATGGCGCAATTTGGAGCTTTTTGGGCTGCTTTAGGGGTTTTTAAGGCGGATTCTGAGCTTTTCGGGGCGGATTCCGGGCTTTTCAGGGTGGCTTTTTTCCGCTTTTTGGGGTTATTTTGGCGCTTTTTGGGCTCACCTTGGCGTGGGGCTCCACGGCGTAGCTCCGGTAATTGGCCGAGGATTTGCGGCGGAGGGGAGGGGGCTGCGGGGGGGGCTCGGGACCCTCCCCCTCATCCTCCGGGGGTCTCTGGGCCACGGGGAGGGAAGGGTTAAACGGGGAGGGGACCCCCAAAAACAGAGGGGAATTAGGGGAGGGGTCTCACCGAGGTCTCCTCCCTGGTGAGGGGAGAGAAAATGGTTAAAGACCCCCAAAATGGGGTGGGGACCCCACCCCGAGACCCCTCCCCCCTCCCCCACTCACTCTTCAGCCATCTGGAAGCTTCTGGAAGACT